TGGAAGTTCCACGTAAGATGCATTTTTCTCCATTTCGCTACAACACTATTTTGTTCCTGGTGTGACATATCCGGTAACCCGCATCGCGGTTGTCGCATTTGATGTAATGTATTATCGTTCAACGCACCGTTACCTGGTATTTGATAGTATTCTTGGAATAATGCGATAGCCTGTTTAATTTTTTCATCTTCGATCGACGTGTGAGTGGTTACGTCCACCTCGTTCAGGTAACCATATTTCTGCAGATATTCTATCACCTCGGTGTTTACTAAATTTTGTATCGTCGGCGTCGACGCGGATATCGTTACGGAAAGGAAAGCGACGAGGAAAGCGAGAGACATCGCGGCGTACGTGTACAGCGGAAACGTACGGTTCGACTATTAATCGCATACTGCGAGTGCGGAGAGAGGAGTGGTATGTTTTGTCCAAAAATAGACAAATGAAAACGAGGAGATAAGAGTGTCTAAAAATAGATACAGGAAACGAGAAGATAAGAGTGTCAATGAACGTGGTGCATTTTTTTTTTAAATACAGTTTATTTTTGTAAAGCATACAGGAAAAACTTACATTAGCATATGGAATCGTCTAAATTGAGTTGAGAAAAACATAATCACGTGTATCGTTATATAATCTTACGAACGACATTTGTCAATGGATTGTACTCTATTACTCTGTCATGAATAATTAGACAATAGGCCGTGGTGCCCGATGGAATATTTTCCCTACATTCGAATTCGATACGAATGTCCACGGTAGCGCTTTTCACAGATTCGTTTTGACGAGAGCAATCGATCACCACGAGCGGCGCGGCTGAAACAAATTGCGCGACGGACAACAAAGCTTCGTATGTTTCGTGGCCGTAGTACGATTTCGCAAATTTTGCATACATGTCGTATAGTATTGCGAATTTATTACGTTCGAAATCCAAATTCATATCATCGTACGGGAAAAAATCAGAGTTCAAAAATAGTTTTACGTTTACTAGAGCACACGCGTCGAAATGAGTGGTATCCTTAGAGAGTACGTTTCGCTTTCCAGTTTGAAGCGAAAAGATCACGTAACGCGGTTTTTCCAAATGCGACGTTGTCTTCACAGCCCACGAATGTTTGGTCGTGCTCTGAAGTAGAGGAAACTCGTACAAATCCCAAGATCGAAATCCCATGCTGAGATACCGTCCGTTTTCCAACGTTCGCAGAAGTGACAATTTGTTGACGTCGTTCAGTACCACGTGTGGCATCTTCCATTGCACTTTCGATAACGTGAGTGTATAGTCGTCTGCGTTGCTCGCGATAACGCAATTGTTGTCGTTACGCGCACGTATCAGGACTAGTTCATGTCGGGCGTTTATCACTATACGTTTGTAATCCTCGCAAAATCCCAGAAGTATGTTAAGCGGTACGCTAAAGTTAAAATCTTCAGTTATCGATCGACTTGTTAATAATGCGTCTAGACCTAATGTAAGCTGCCATCCGGCATTCTCCAACGTTCTGCTTCTGTCAACTGTCAACGAAACGTAATTTTTAACTGTGCTCGTAATACCAACGTTTCTGTTTCTGTCAATTTCCACTCCGTCTAATTCGTAGCGAATCTCGTCGAACATGAATGCGACGCAATTATTCGACAGTCTCGGTGGTTCGTTGGTACTTCCTTCCTTCCTTCGCACAATGAATTTTCCCTCGATGTAGAGCAAACTTTCGCACGGTAACGTGTAGAGATCCTGATGTTGAATCGGTATCCGTATTTCATCGCTGTATCCGAATGTAGTATTAGCGTACGGATTGTAAGTGTGAGTCTCTATTTTAACGATGCGATCGTCGAAGATCGCAGCACCTCCGATCTTCAGGATATCACGATTCATTTCTCACAACGAATCCGAGAAATCGTAGAAAGGCGACGTTCGTGGCGTTTAATCGACCTTTTTTTCGTCTTTTCGTTCGGTCGTATCGATTTTTGAACGGTTGTCACAATGTCGACGTTTGCGATGCGTTCACTCCGTCGTACGAATCGTTCAAGACGAGCATCTTCCGCCTTCGAACATAGTATCCCCTAACGTCTACGTCGTATGTGAAGTCGAATCGATATCTCTTCGCCGCGAAAGTCGATCAACTGTCCGTTCTGATCCACTACACGTATCGTTATATCGGTAATGTTTCGTGCGATGACCGGGAGATAAATGACGTGCGTTGGAGTAACGGATAGTTTATATCCTGGAGGAACGTTCACCGCGAATTCGTGTATCGTATGTGCCGGTCTGTCGTTGTTGTACGCACCCGAGGTAATGTTACACTCAACGCGAATTATATTCACGTTCATAATTTTCACCATTTCGTCCGACGCATACCACTTGTTCGGTCGTAACACGCGAGACGTCGAAAAGCCCAACAATGAACCGATACTGTTCGTTTTGGAAAAATCCACTAGATATTCACACTTGATCTCACTTCTCATGGTGTTTTCGTTCGCGCAAAGAATCAATACAGATTTCGCCCGTTCCATAGTTTTTTCGTCCTCGTATATTAGATCTATCTCGTCGAATTCTTCGAGTTCGTCGTTGTTGATAGTACTCGGTAATGTATTGTGAACTATAGCGGTCCTCAGATACTTTTCGATATCGTTCAACTCGTACGAACCTACGGGAATCGTGATCGTAATGTTGTCTGTGTCGAAGTGGAATTTATTATTCGAGGAGGTGACGTTCGGTATCGTGTTGTACGTTTCGAAATTCGTAAGACCCAATTCGTATTCGCTATCGCTCAAGTCCAAAGCGGGGAAATAATTCGCCGCGAGGACACTGTTTCTTCCCGTTAGTGTGAGAGTCAACGACATGATCGTAGCACGAAAGTTACCGCAGGACTGTTCGGATCGCTGTGCAATATATCACGCGAGGAGCTTCTTCCTCTTCCAATCGATCTCCCAGAGAAATCGCAGACACAACTGACCGCAAATGCTTTGATCGTACGACTGATATGATCGTCTGTTGTACGTAATGTTACCTCCGAGATATCGTTCGAGTTCCCTCGGTGGTCTGAGATTACCGAAACTGTCGAAGTAGACAGCCTCGTCTCCCCTCTTCGCGTAAGCGACCCAGTGTGTACCGGGGGCTGTCGAATCGTCGAGGTTCACGATACCGCACTCGTTACGACGTGATTTCGCGGGTATCGCATCGCGCATGAATACACCTCTGAAGAACGGTAATTTTAAAAGATACGCCGAACGACTCAATTGCTCGTTCGTTGTGGTGCCAGAGATCGGTAATCTAAGAGTTTCTATCGTTTTCTTCCATGTTTTTTTTTTACCTTCTTCGACCTCTTCCTCACACGACCGCCGCGTTTGTATGGTGCAATGTGCAGACCGCGACCCTCCATCGCGCGATTATGACGTTGCAATTCTTCGAGTTGTCGTCGAGCGGCTTTACGATCACCCACCGCTTTCGCTACGCTAGCTGCTCCTCCGATCAAAGACCCGAGCGCTCCCAACACTGGTAAAATCGGTAGGAAACCACCGCGTTTCGCTACAGATAAAATCCTCTTCGACTTTTTCCTCCTCTTCACACCCATGCCCAATTTTGTCTTCGCCTTCATGGCTGCCCACACGGCTGTCGCGGCGGCTTTCTCACCGAACGTCGAATCGCTTGCTGTAATACGCTGTCGTGCTCTCTCGGCGAGAGCTCGATCAGCAATGTGTCGACTGGCTAGGTCTTTGCTTTGCGAATACGCGATATCGTGTTCGCGACAAATTGATTGATTGTTCTGCGTCTAATTGATTGATGCCTCGATCGCCGCGAGCTAATCGTTTCGCGAGTCGCGTGCCAGGTCCGCAAAATTGATATCCAGGTATATGTAATTCAAATGGAAGCGCGTTTATCGTTGCGTTCAGTAAACCCTCGCCGTGCGCAGATATCATTTCGTTTTTTTCATATCTGTGAGATATTGGACACAATTCTTGATAAAAGGCGGTGGACCGTCTATATGCGTTTGTTGATCCGGAAGATTGTAATGCTCGAAACACGTACGACAACGTTTCACCTCAGTATCGGCTTTTATATGATCGAGTAATCGATCCCACAACTGTTCTATATAATTTTCTAAATCTCGCAGAAAAACGATCCTTGGTATGTACTGCAGTTGTTCAGCGGTAAAAGCGAGAATGTCACGTTTTTCTGTTATCAGGATAAACATTTTTGAACGATTACTAGTCACAATAGATAACAAACTGTGTGAAATGCTCGTCTGTTCGCGATATAAATAGCACGAGACTCTCCCGTGTCGCATCGAAGTCTGCGCACGCGCGTCACGAGAGCGACAAATGCGATTCGTGCGACAATCTCGAACGATAGGAGTATCGAATCTCGATCGGAAGACGCGACTGATGTCGCGTGAAACTGTCATGGGCCTTCTACAATAAGCCATAAGTCATTAATCACTTGTCATAAGTGTTAAGTCACAATTATAAGTCATAAATCTTAAAAAATTTGCATCTACAATAAGTCGTATTAGATCGTTGGATCATAACAGTTCAGCCAATCAGAAAGATGGCAGTTCTCAGGATAGACAACAAGACTATATGTTTGCATATTTTATGTACTGCTAGTTTGATGAGTGCTAGTTTTTTACTGCTTTTGATATTTTATTATTTTTTACTTTAGTCCTTTGAAAAGGAGGATAATAAAGATAAAGCAACTGATATATAATGGATGAGGAAGATTTATTACTAATTATAATATTTATACAAACGTAGTGCATTTATAATTTTATGTTATATTATACAAAGGAGTCACAACGGAGTTAAAGAAGGAGGTTAGTATAACTACTGCCGAATTTTGATGATCTGCATATTATTTTGTACTTACTGATTGCAATAGTATTACAATTTGTTTATTTTTTTCTAGATGGTGGCGTCGGCCAATCAATAACACGTTTTCTCAACTTGGAGACTTCTCACAATTATTCCAAGAACTGAAGAATACTGACCATGAAGAATTTTATCATTATACAAGTATGATGCCTGCTCAGTTTGATTGGCTTTTAGAGAAGACAAAGCCTTATCTATTGAAACGTAGCAAAAGACGTCCATTCCCACCAGAATTAAGACTGGCTGTCACTCTGGGGTAAGTATATAATATAGGGACCTCATACGGCCAATAATAGGAAAAGAATGAACCTTTGACCAATTTTGACATTTTTTCTTGTACAAGTTATATTTTGTGTGATTACTTTTATAAATTATAAGTTAAGATTGACGATATTAAATAACTTTTTCTGAATATCTATTTAACATTTTAAAAAGCAATTCCAACATAAGACAAAATGCATATACATACATTTTATAAAATTAAAAAGCGTATTGAAATTACTTCATCATTAGAATATTTAAAAACAATAAATTATTTTTTATAGGAGTATAATTCTCTTTATTATTATGATTGTAAGTTATAAAATATATATCTCTGATGCTCATACTACAAATTACTTATTTTTACTTTTACAAATATCCAATAGATTCTTTATAAATTCAAATGGTTAAAGGTATAACTGGTCAAAGGAACACCAGGTTCCCCTACCATCTATATCAACAAATATTGACTATATTATTAATTATGTGTGGTTAATATGGTTTGTGACCGTACTTTTGAGGAACGGCACAACTTCGTCACTTCATCCGCTGCTCTTTTTACGCGATAGCTCAAAAGATGGACACAATAATGTAATTAGCAAAAGTGCGGTTCTTCCTTAAATTTTATGTGCTACGATATTCGAGCCGTACTAATTTTCGTTGGGCGCCAGGCACGAGAGAGCGTGCCACTCTTCGCACTAAATATTAAGATGTTACGCTCGGACAAAGAAATTACAGAGCAACGGAATTCGCGACGGACAGGCTCAGCTAGCTCAGCCAACGAAATTGGCAGAGGGGGTGGTTCGCGATGAGCGGGGAACAATGTCGGAGAACGAGGTAGAGGCAGACAGAAATAATCAGACAGCAATTAATATTAACAATGACAAAGAGTTTCCTATTTATTCAAGTCGCGTCGATACATGAGTTGACGCAGTTTACAGAATTCCACGGTCGCGCGTCTACGACAAGTTTACTTTATTACAGAAGAGACTATATCAAGGCCGTCGTCGACGGTACTTAGAAATGTCCGACTCTCGGAACTTCCCGCAAACCGACAGCCTAATGCTGAGCGGTGACACGCGGCTCGACTCTAATTCTTAAACAAACCGGAATCTTAACAAGAAATACGAACGATATGACTTGGCAGTGACACGGGCGAGCAATAACGATAACTCTGAGCATGTAAATTCCTTAATTCGAGCGAACGGCCTGCGTCTATCGATAATAGCAATGGCGTTAGTTTTTGCCGGTACGACATCGGCTGAATCAAACCCGCGGAACTCACACACGCGATTCGCTCGATACGCTCACAAAATATTACGCGATCGGTGGCTTTACAATACAACTAATAACGCTCGCCTCACCAAGATTTTCCTCCTCAGCTGCTTCCGAGATTCACACGAGAGCCGACAACGATACTCGTCCTCAACGAAGGTTCTCGATTCCTCGACTTAATTAGGCTCGGCGAGATCCTGCGTCCTTCCAGAGGGTCGGTCACTGCAGAAGTGCCGATCGGAAGTTTCCGCGGATTCACGCAGGTCGTCAGGCCCTCTCTTATCGGCCTCTGCTTGCTCTAATTGGCTCGCCGCGACCGCGCGACCCCGCGACGAATCCCGCGGGTCCTTGCGTGTCGCGAATCCTTTTACGCTGTGGCGCGCTTTTCCAAAAGTCCGAAAATGCTTCCTTGTCGCTTGACGATCTTCCATCGATCGTTGTGGGACACGATGCTTCGGCGGATGTTCTGCCTTTGAGTCCGTTCCCAGCTGACGTCTCTCTCCGAGGCGTCTGCAATGAGGGTGCGATAATCCACCAAATAATAGCGACATTAATAATAAATATGAAATAATACGACCTGCGTGTGCCGCGCTTCTCGTGACTTCAGCCAAATTCTTCATACAGCAATCTCTTCCTTGTGGGAGGCGACGTCTTCTCTCTTCTAGGTGAGGCGGCCGAACACAAGAATACAGCGTAGCCACCAGCTCTGATCGTGAATTACCGGCAAAATCCGAGCTCAGGATCGTCTTAATATTAACTAAAACTTAACTAAATAGCGACAAGAAGGAAAAAAGAAAAATAATACAATAATCGCAAGAAAAAGAATAAAATTAAGTAATACAATAATCGCAAAAAGGAAATAAGAATAATAAATAATATCGCACATTCGCTTGTGCGCTTGTCCGTTGACCCTGAAGGACCCAGGATCTCGCATTATGCTGCTTTTCCGAGTGACAAAATGTCACGTCACAACTTTGATGAAAAAAATATTGGCTTACGGTACCATTCATTCCGTTTCATACAGATAAATTTAAGAGATTCAATGGTAATGATATCAGGATTTCCTATCACAGTCCCAACAAGATGAGCAAATACATAAAAGTACAGAAAGACATACGACAGAAAAACACGAAGAATAATGTTGTATATAAGATATCATGTGCAGATTGTGATGCGTCTTATGTCGGTCAGACTGGTAGACAGTTAAAAACCAGAATCGCAGAGCATCGGCATCATATTAGACATAACACATCTACACGTTCGGTTATTACTGATCATAGAGTGCAACATGATCATGAATTTCTTTGGGATGAAGTGGAAATTCTTGATGAAGAACCGTGTTACAAAAAGCGTTTAGTATCTGAGATGTTGAATATTAAAAGACAGAATAACAGTCTTAACTTACAATCTGACACGATAGATCTCCACGAAGCATATTCTTCGATTATAAACAAAGTCTGACATTGTCATGTTGTATTCTGTATCAGTTATCTTCGAACATTCATAGTGGCGTCACATACTTATTAATTGCGGAATAATGTATATCAATTTTATAATTTTGACGTTTAAAAATTACACATTGACGAATAGATTGCGTAGTGTACTGACTGATCTAGAGATCTTTGAATAATGTTGCCCATCTCCAAAGGTTTGATATTGTTACAATTTTTGTTAACGTACAATTTTCTTGATGGTTTTAATATTTTTTTGATTCTAAAGCTTGTCATATCTACATAATTTTTATAGCTGACTTTTTTCTTACGATCTACTAATCGCTAGAGGAACAATAGTTGGATTTGATGAAGATGGATTCGCAGAATTAATTCGAAGAATTTTAACTTTAAGAATATGTTTGCGCTTTTGAAAAAGACTCAATCCACGAGTCGAAACGTTCGTTAAGCAGGTCTTTGAATATTGTTATTTTTTAATGTACATCTTCGAATTTTAAACAAGTATTTTTATATTGTTAATTTTTAATGTACAGCTTCGAAGAAAAATTTTTTTTTCTTTTGAAATTAATTTATTACATATATGCGTTTTTCTTTCTTTAATTGTTGTTTTAAATTATTTCTTTTGACTCTTACAACGTCCTTTTAACTTTTTTCGTTTATGTTTATAATAAGAGTCCTTTATCAATCTTATATTATTAAAAATATTTGCAGTGATTTGGATTTTTCATTCTCGGGCATCAATATGTTCTACCATTACGATATCCTATGTTACAGATGCTCAATGCATGAGTGAAGAATTTTTGATCACTGTCAATGATACTGTGTCAGTATTTATTAGTATTGACAGTATTATTGACCATGTAATGGTTAATAGCTGAGCTCCATACCATAAAACTGAGCTCAAATTTTGTCAATGATCGTGTTCAGCAGACTCAGACTGGAGTCACATTGAGCGGAAATTACAGCGGAACGGAACAGTGAAACCAATCAGAACTCTACAATTATTCCGCTGTTTTACTTTCTGCGATTGTGATTGGTCTCGCTGTCCGTTCCGCTGTAGATTTCCGCTCAATGTGACTCCAGCCTCAACTGTTGCAGAGCGGATCCGTGAACGCTCACTGCTATTGGATGATCGAAAAGAATATACCAATGGCAGCGAGCGCTCACAGATCTGCTCCGCGACAGTTGAATCTGCTGAACGCGACCAATAGTACCGATACTGTAAGATTGAAAAAATATTAATGCGCATCGTTACTAGTTTACTGATTTAATAATGTTGATCAGTATTATTCATCATGTAAAGTTCTTGTCAATATTTTCTTGATCAGTATTTTTTTCATCAATATGAAAAGTTTATTTTAATATACTGTTCTCTCAATGTATTTCAGATACCTTGATCACGCTGACAGTACATGGTCAAAAAAATGGTCTTTCCGTATTGGTCGATCAACAATGTATAAAATTATCCCTGAGACATGTGATACAATCATAAAAGTTTTACAGCCAATATATTTACCACCCATGACGAGAGAAGATTGGCGTAATGTAGCTGATGGATTTTGTGAGAAGTGGAACTTCCCTAATTGTATAAGGGCACTTGATGGAAAACATATAAGAATTCAGGCTCCAAAAAACTCAGGCTCTCTATTCTTCAATTACAAGAAATTTTTTTCAATCGTTCTTATGGCAATCTGTGATGCAGATTATGTTTTCAAATGGGTGGACATCGGTAATTATGGTGCATATTAATTCTGCATAAACAATAATATTTTTAGTAACAAATCAAACTGGTTTTATGGATAAAATTTTTCTTTTGTATAGGTTCGATATCTGACGGTGGGGTGTGGTTGCATAGTGATTTTGGTTCTAGCTTAGAGCAAGGATTAATTGATTTGCCACATCCAGAGCCATTATTAGGGACAAATACTCCCTTTCCATTTGTTTTTGTTGGCGATGAAGCTTTTCCACTCAAAACTTATTTAATGCGGCCCTATGCGAAGACAAAAAGACTTCCACATCAGCAACAAACTACAGCACAATCACAAGCAACGTTTGAAGCAAATAATGATGTAGAAAATGATAATATACAAGATGATAATAGAAGATATAATGAATATTTGGACGCTCTACCTGGTCTTACAATACCACAGAGAATTTTTAATTATCGATTATCTAGAGCTCGTAGAGTAATTGAGAATGCTTTCGGTGTACTTGTTTCAAAATGGACTATTTTAAAAGACTCCATATGCTGTAAACCAGAAACTGCCGAGTCCATTGTTATGGCCCTCATTTGTCTGCACAATTTTCTTCTGGAGAAAAAATACATTACCTGCCACATGTATGTATCTAAATTCAGGACTTGTTGACGGATATGGACCGAATGGTGAGTTACAAAATGGAGAGTGGAGAGTTCAAGTGCCACAACATGGCATGATGGAACGAGCTGGCAGACTTGGAGCAAATAATCCTACCCGGGCAGCTATTATTCAAAGAGATAAATTAAGAGACTATTTTCTTACTGAAGAGGGTGAGATTTTGTGGCAATATCATCATGCATTAAGAAATATACCAATTATTATAAATCCGATGTAAACATTATTCACATTTTTGTACACTCGAAATACACAGTAAAAGTACAAGTACAGTATACTAAACTATAATATTATGACATCTTTTTTAAACGAGTTAATACCGTTCATTTTAGAGTAAAGTAACATACAAACTGTATTAAAAAAGTTGTTTATGGTTTTATTGAAAGTAGAATAACTTCTGTTTCTTATCTACATAATAATATTAATACAATGAAATTTTAATACAGTGGAGGAATATGTCACATTTCTCGTATCTCGAAGTTCTGACAGAAACTGCAGACGTGAAGATCGCAACGTCTCTGCCTAAAGAGAAAGAAGATGTGAATTTACTTCTGCCAGAAAAGATTATACTTAAAAAACGAAAAGTTAACGCAGAATTATTTACAAAACAATTTTCCTACATTTTTATGAAGACGATATTTTTAATTTTTTACTTTAGTGTCCTTTACTGAGCAAAAATGATTGATAAGAAATGATAACTCGATTCGAAGTTTGTATTATTCATTCTATTATACTTATTTATGGTGATATAGAAAACGAATACTTATATCTTATTTTTAAAATAATTTATTCTGCTTAAATATTTATTTGATTATATAAAGTTTTCCATATACTTTCTTAGCCAATACACAATTAATTACAAGTTGATGTTATTAATCTCAATATTAACATAATAGGCTTATGAGAAATAAGTATTTATTTCAAATCTGTATTCACAAACATATATACTAACAAGTAATATCACACAGAGTATTGCAACATTTGTGAAACATCGCGAAAATAAGTAAAATAAAAAAATGTTTATTCTATAGATATTGCAAAGATATATACTTTTTTCAAAGGAACATACATATACTTTATACAGTACACATAACGTAAAAGTTGATTTCTGTCACAAGGAAATGTTTTACTACCTTCTCATAGGAGTATTTATTAAAAAAAAAAATTTTTTTTTTTTATTTTGTTGCATATTACAACATACAATTAAAATGAGAAAAGAAAAGAATATTTGTGTATGTTTCTTTGTAAGTTCCTCAAGAATTTTCCTGTTAAACTATTTTAATTCACATATTTTCGAATTATATATAATGTATTGTATATCACAGGAGATAATACATATAATAAAGCTACTCACAGTACATTTCACATTTAACATATAAAGTAATATAATATGATACTTTACTCGATATCTCTCATCCATATATGATTTACATAAAAAAACAATCCTTTGCATAAATGCAAATCACATTGGGCGCATTCAGCGGACTCAACAGTTGAGTGAGCACTCGCTATTATTGGTGTATTCTTCTAGATCTAAATTTCTGATTGGATGATCTAAAAGAATACACCAATAATAGCGAGCGCTCACTCAACTGTTGAGTCCGCTGAACGCACCCATTAATAATACGTAACACAATTAATAATATTGACGAATATATGTGTGATACATGTATACATACTCAGAGCGTTTTCCAGCAAAGCACAATAGTAATAGCACAGTAGATCATTACATCCTTATATTTACTTTGAACAAGTAGGTTACACTATCTTTGCTAGAAAACGCCAACACACATAATTAAATTCGTACAACTTACGACAGTTTTTACCGTAATATTATTTTTAACATAAATATATATATTTTAAAAAACAAATAAAAGAAACCCTTATAAAAAGGATGGATATCGCATATAATGAAGTTGTAATGAGCAATGACGGAATATTCTCTCACAAAACTGTTGTAATAAGGTAATAAGCAATGATTAAAGAATAATAATTATTCTAATCATTATTCTGTAATTCTTGCTCTTTATATTTGTTAATTACTTTCAATACGTCAACTATACAATTAAATCTCATATCGGATTTAACTTGTTTCAAACCTACATATGCACATTTTAACATGTCAGAAATATCTTTATCAATATCGTCACTCTCAGACACATGTGCTTTTGGTGCAGCTTTTTCTACAGCTTTTTGTGAGACAATATTTTCAATAGTGTTTGCCATTTTCTCCAGTGACTGAGCACTTGTATGTATATAGTTATCAATATTTACTTTTCTTTTCTTATAAAAATTATCTGGTTCTGGTACTACTACATTTTTGTTTTCCTTCAGCTTGTATTTTTCCAATGTGCCAGTTTTATTGAAGAGTGACTGTTTTGATGACATTTTATTCAATACTGCATGCGCCGTAGAGGAGAGAGGGACACGATCTTCTGTGTGAGATTTGTGCATCTCATTCTTTTCTTGTGATGATTGTTGTAACCAATTCTCATCTAAAAAATAAGTGGAAAGTGACTCATAAGAATCATTTAAGATGATTGACACCCTGGTTATCCATATCCTGATTGCACATGATCAAACTATGTAAGCATGTGATTGTTGTACTAAGGACATTGAAATAATTTATTCAGATTACAGATTGTGCAACTAGGACGTTTTCTTTAAGAACTAATTAACATAAACTAGAAAGAAAAGTACTAATAAGAACAATTTTATAACATATAATAATATATACCATTGTCCAAAGACAAGAACTCATACATGTCTACATCAAACTGTGCAGTATCAAAGTCAGTATCCTGGCTGTCCTGAATAGATGAACTGTCTATAACTATAGGTGACGGTTTATTGATGACAATTTGCGATTCACTTGATTCATCATTGGAAATACATGATACAGATCGCTTCATGTTTGATTTGGTTCTGATAACAAAAAACAATTGAAGGTTATATATATATATACATAAACAACATACACATACATGTATGTATACATATATGTATGTGTATGTATACATATGTGTGTATGTATATAGCATACATATAACATTTGAAAAATATATATATAACTCTAAAATATTAGATAATATTGTATACTTACTGCTGTGAACTATAATGTGGAATAAGGAACGACATTTCACCATAATACTGGAATTCCTGGGTGTCCTGACTTGCACCCGATCCTAATCGCCCTTGCTTATAATATTTTTTATGTTGACATGACCACATAGTCCTTAGGCTGTCCCATCTTCTTTGGGCTTGATCACCTTATATAAAGACAAAAAAAATAACAATGAAATCTAAATTAGTATCAATATTTTCTTAAATTATACCTACCCGTTTTTTTGTTGGTTAGGGCGGCACCTATTTGAGTCCATATGTCTTTTTTATCCGCAGTCTTAAACTTTCGTATTCTTTTATTGTACAGGCAACAATTAGCTTCGACAAGTTTGATGAGCTCCATGTCATCAATTTCTTGTAAACATTCATATTCCATTTTTAATAATACGATAATAACGATATAAATTTCTTCGATCTCAATGGCTGCGTTCAGCAGAAAAAGCAGCTTTGCAACTGTTGTATTCTCTGTCGTAATATTCTCGATTCAGTTTTTAGGTTAACGAAATCAGTTTTCTCGTAAAAAATGGCAGACACATACTGCTTTTTGATTGGTCAGTCATAACGTAATCATAAGCTCTAAGTCAGAAGAGATGGAATTTGGCCATCTCCACTCAGTCACGGACTATCGATTATTACTATCTTATGACGCATTACTGACTCGCTTGAAACTAGTTTCTGACTTCTGATTTATGACTTATGGCTTATTGTAGAAGGCCCATCAGAGATAAGTGCAGACACGGCTCTGCGCTACCTAGTACGATGCGTTGCATCATCTGCGGACCCTCCAATTGCGGTAAAACGAATATTTTGTTAAGTTTGATAGAGAGTCCACATGGTCTTCGTTTCGAAAATATTTACGTTTACTCGAAATCTTTGTTTCAACCTAAATATCGATATCTCGAGGAGCTGCTAGAATCCATCGACGATATTGGTTACTACGCGTTCTCTAATAATGGCGACATTATTCCACCTGGCGAAGCGCTTCCGAACTCGATTTTCGTATTCGACGACGTAGCCTGCGACAAGCAGAATACTATCAGGGAATACTTCGCTATGGGTCGACATGCGAGTATCGATTGTTTTTATCTCTGTCAAACATACGCGAAAATACCAAAGCATCTCATACGCGACAATGCGAATTTTCTAATTCTATTCAAACAAGATGGTACCAATCTGAAACACATTTACAACGATCACGTGAATACCGATATGTCTTATGAAAAATTTTGCACGCTGTGTCATCTGTGTTGGCAACGCAAATACGGCTTCGTAGTTATCGACAAGGACAGTGCGTTACATAACGGTAGGTACAGACGTGGCTTCGACGATTTCGCGATACTGTGAATCGTGCAGTGTCTATTGTGACGTCGCAACGATATGAACGATACGAAGAACATCGCCGAACGTGAGCGAACCGCAAAATTGATTGCGAAAACACGTGAGTCGATTCGTAAGAAACACAGAGCGTTGAAAACGGGCATAATGGAGAGCGAAATTGCCCTGGAGAAAAAATTCAAACCGATCGTAGAACCGTTGAGACAAATTGTTGATATCACCGAGCGAGACAAATCGTCGAAAATTAGGGATGTCGTGAAAGTGAAAACGTTGAAAGGTAAACGTGAGCACAGTGACAATGACGATGACGATGATAATGATGATGTAATTTCCAAGAAAATTAAACAAAATCGATCTCCGTTAAAAGAACAGTCGTCGAACGTTATGTCAAAGTCGATAGATTCGCAACACCATTTCCCCTCGACACAGGATGAGGAAGTTTTTGAAACCTCCAACGGTACTGATCCATCTCTCGAAACGTCTGTTAGAGAAGTTCTAAGTACACCTCAGGGTCGCGATAGATTAAACAGTCAGCTAGGACCGTTAGGACACATATACATCAATGCTCTTCTGAGTGGTGACAAGAGAAATGAAATCGATCTCGTGTACGGTGTTTATTTCGATGAGAACGGTACAATGATGGGTGATAAAAAATTCGATGTGGATACAGACGATACCATAATAATCGATGGAAACAGATACAAGGGTACACCAGGTCTGTACGAATTAATTTTCAAGAGACTTCCCGACGACGACATCTACACCGAGAACGATAAGCAAACGTACAAGAGTATACTGTTGACAACGAATGCACATAGACGTCGTCATAACGCTGAAATGCCTGTCAAAAGTAACAAGGGATACAAATATAAGTATATTATCGGTCCACTCGTATCTGCACACCGAACTATGAGTTTGGGTGCAGGTGTACCGACGACTATGAGAGTTACCGACGACAAAGTCGATTACGTTCATTGGGACGATCCGAATGAGTTGGTGGACCGTCTTCAGTTGCTCGATGCCTCTCGTACAGCTGGCAATAACGCTCACGACAACGAAATACTGTCGATACTCGAGGAACTTCACGAGGCTGGATTTATCATAAATTGAATCGTTGATTGAGCAACAGTAATAAGGAACGTATGAATTGGATAACATGTTGGTAAATCAAAGTCTCGCACGATACAAAACAGACGTGATTAACGTGAAAATGATAGGAGAGGATTATTTAAAAGACACGCGTAAATGTTATAACGTCAAGTGATGAGTGTCGAGAAACGGAGAGTCGCGGAGGAGCTTCACGCACCCGCGCGGAGAAACTTTCCACGACGTCGAGTCGTCGTGCGTGGTCGTGACGATTTATGGCAGGCAGATGTAGTTGAGATGCGCCCTTACGCGAGATTGAATAAAGGTTGTAACTACATTTTAACTGTTATCGATGTTTTGAGTAAGTACGCGTGGGCATTACCACTCAAGACCAAGAGCGGAAGCGACGTGACCGCGGCGTTCTCCAAAATATTTCGCGAGGACAAACGATATCCGAGGAATCTACAGACGGATCAAGGAAAGGAATTCTACAACGCCACTGTGCAGAAACTTTTGCAGAAATACAACGTAAATCACTATTCGACGTATTCGGTAATGAAAGCGTCGGTAGTGGAACGATTCAACCGTACTCTCAAAAATAACATGTGGAAAGTATTCACGTTGAACGGCGCGTACAAATGGATCGACGAATTGTCGCGTCTACTGTCAGATTATAATCGTCGTAGACATCGAACCATTGGAATGCGTCCGATAGACGTCACACTTCCCGTTGCAAAACGTCTCTTGTCGACGGTGTACAGTCACGTGAAAATTGCTCCCCCGACGAAATTCAAGATAGACGATCCAGTACGTGTTAGTAAATTTAAGACCATTTTCGAAAAAGGATACACACCAAATTGGTCGACCGAGATCTTCCATATCGCCAAAGTGCAACGTACGAATCCTGCAACGTATCTGCTGAGAGATTATCGAGGAAAGCCGATAGCCGGTGGTTTTTACGAATACGAACTGCAACGAGTGTCCAATCCGGACGTCTATCTTGTGGAGAAAGTATTACGTAAACGAGGCAACGAAGTATACGTGAAATGGTTAGGAATGGACAACTCACATAATTCGTGGATAAATAAAGCTGATATTGTGTAAAGGGATGTATTTATTCCATAATAAAACTATATTAATACATATTACATGAGTAATTGTTCGTAATATATCCAATAATAGCATATAACATTCGTTTGATTGAACGCATCTTCCCAAAAGATATAATAATCGTGCAATAAAAAAGCATCTTATTATAAGGTTACTTTATTGTGTATCCAAGATTTGTGGTATTTTATAATGTCCCCAAGGTAGAGTAGCAATTGAATCAGGTAAGACGTATCGTTTGTCATCGTACGGACTGAGAGCAAGTTTTGTTTCGAGAACCGTATACACCTCGTGCAACGACGATTGAATGCGCGATTGACGCCTCGACTGTTCGTACGCGTCATGCAAACATTTCGCATAATCGTCAAACGCTATCGTTTTCGCGACCACGCTTTTCTTGACACCCTTTATTTTTTTTACATCATTACTACCGACAACTCTCAATGCGTACATCTTCGCTCTGAGACCAATGAATTCAGTCATTACCCTACCGTTATTTTCATCTTTCATTAAACCAGGTATTTTATTATTAAGGCGTGGAATATCGTATACATTATCCTCGGAATAATCGCTCGTGTCAAATTTCGTGATATTACACTTCATATCCTCATATACATTGTCGCATTTCAAAAAATATATTAAACTGTCCGTGTCCGTGTATAGGATCGTGCACCTATCGTGATACAACGGTATCATGTACTCGTAATGAAATTCATACAAACGAATCTTGATATTTCAAGAATACACATACCAACGTATATCGGTTTGTTCAACTTTACTTCAAGTTTACGCAACTCAACGGCTACCAGATTTTCGGAAAAGATACTTCTACTGCAAAAATTCGGTTTCGCTATCATTGCTTCTAAACCGTATCTTCCATCCCAGTGTGTTATAAGTCGAACGTCTTTATAATCGCGTACGTTCTCCATTGTTTTTCCGAATACCGCATTATTCATCAATTTGTAAAGATTTCTCTCGAAATCGTTATTCGAAGACATTCTAAATCGCGTATTTAGCTCTATATATCCTCGAAGCCATTGAGATTGTGCAAATTTTAATATCCGATGAATTTTCGTCACGACCAAACCATGTCGAATACATTGCTGCAAATTGCGATAATGAATGACGTAACGCTCCTTATCGTACAATGTTGCCAAAAGTTTTTCGTAACGTTTTCCTCCAGGAGGTCGTTCTCTCGTAGGACAGAACGGAAGATTGACATGAGAGTTATGCAAGTTTTGTGGATACGCAAGGTCGATCTCTAAAATGTAACCGACGTTAGACTCTACCGATACCGACATGACATCAAAATAATCGACGTCGTCTATCCATTGAAATTCTCCGTGTGGTAATGGTTCCATCATCGCCCAACCGTACAAATTATTAACGTCGAAGTACATAAGATACGTAGAGGGTTGCGAAGGGTCATATGATGGTACATACGCATTATTGGCACGCGCATATCTATGTGAACATTGGCTTAAACCACCGCGTACGCCGCGTTCTACAAACAATACCATATCAATGTCGGTGAGCAATTCCAATTTAACACCGGTATACTTTAACATAGCGTCCCACGTGTATCCCGGCAGAGTGAAATAATAAGTCGGATCTAATCCATAACTCTCCATGCACGTGTCGCGAAAATTTTCAAAAATATCCGCTAATAGAAGTACGTCGGTTTTCAGATACAAATCACTGTATTCACCGAGAGTATTAATGTGGAAACGTTGCCACACGTCAGTCGCGTGTTGATAATCATCGACGGAAACGTCCTCGTTGGTCAATGAACTATAAAATGCCTCGCGTGGTGGTAAACTCGTCTCGTTAAGCTTATCGAAATTGTCAACGTATTCGTACGGAAATACTCCTTTACGCGTAAGAAAATCAAATTCCTGTGTGTTCAGATTAGAAAATATCGATTGTGTAATTTTTAATTTACTCTTGTCGAGATAGGAAACCAATTTCTCGAGGCTAGAACTGAGAAATTTATACGAGTCCACGAAACGTAACTGCATGATGTCTGTACCCCTCCACGATCCGCTTGCTGTATCTTTAACGTATTTCGTAAACGCTATGTAGTTCTCTTTCGTTACCGGTAACAAATAAACCTTTCCATCATATCTGTTTGCTATATCTTTTATAATAAAATGCGCGTCGTAACCCGATAAATTATGAAAAAACACAGGAATAAAGCGCGATTCTTGATAAATTAAATTACAATAGGAGTGCGCTGGACCTCTATAACGTCCGGTTATGTGACAGTGATCACGTACGCGTATATGTTCCTCCTCGAATGGTTTTTCACAAATGTGACAATGAGTCGCGTCTGTAAATTGTTTCCATTGCTCATGTGTAAACTGATTCATATGCGTATTTCTATCGAAAAGCGACTTTACGCGATGCGTCAAATGATACAATTCGTTTACGAACCATTCTACGCAATTCGCTCCGCGACAATGTCTATATTTCGACATTGTTTCGTCGAACTCGCAATGTAAGTAGTATCCGATGCTGAAGACTTTATGATGTTGATATACGAATCTCGAGATACGCTCATCATCGATCCCTGTCTTTTCCAATATACACTCCAAATCGGCATATATCACGAAGGGAAGTCGTTTCGTTCTGTTGTGATTGCGAAACGACAACCATTTGTCGTATTCATCAGGCAAAATAACGGTACATTGATTCAATCTTGCGCAATCGACATTATGACGAGCCAGTCTCTCACTCGTTTGGAAGTAATGCAAACATCTCTAAAAAAAAAAACAAAATAACAATTTCATATACAGCACACTTTTTCAACTTAAACATCATACGTACTTACCTCTCGCAAATGTACTTCTTGCAGGTACTCCTGTTCAATTGAGTATTGAGAAGTCTCGACAGATTCTTAATCCATACAAAATGTCCGACGACATTGTCATCGTGTTGCACGTACAACAGATTCACGTGTTTGTTTCTTTTCACCTTTGTCACACGAAGAGGCACGATCATTGTATCGCTGTCTGTAATCCTTTTCTTTTCATCTCTCTCTCGCTCGACAAACACGGTTACGGAGACATCGTTCAGACGTTCAAATTTCGTGATTTGCTTCAAGGTTACGGGGAAATCAATACCTTCCAGCTGTAATACCTCTGAATAATGAGGATATTGTGACGTTCTATTAACATTTGTAGATGCAGGATACAATGCGGCAACTATAGCCCATGCGAAACAGGCATTATCGTACGTCTCGATATTGATAGTCGCTCTCTTCGAAATTATACGACGAGGTACATTCACGCGACATCCACCGTGCATAGGATAAAATTTATTTACGTTTACAATCAAATTCAATATGCGTGATAATGCCCATCCGCTGTCACGTTCCTGAAACTCCTCCAGATCAGATAGAATTGCATCCATAACATACTCATCGTACCACTCCTTCAAATCAGACGCACCATACAGCTCATGATTTTTCGTTGTGATACTCTTGAAGGATCTCTTGTCGTCTGCAACGAATTCTCCATTGAACGTTGCATTCACCTTTAAACATGCGTGTCTCTGAAGATTTACTCGTGTATGATCAAGAACGGTGTCTCTCGCATCGGTGAGAAATTGTCGCGGTTCAATGTAACTCGAATTCACAACCAGTGAGCACTCGATTATTGAAAGCCGTTTCGATTTCCATCCATGATAATCCCGTCTTCGACGATTCAGCATGACCGGAACCCTCGTGTACAAAACGAGGTCGTAAGGTACTCCTCACGTACTCCAATCGCGCTATTTTAGCGATCGACGAATTTATCAAACCAGTAGATATCGGTTGACTCGTGTTACGACATACCTCTCTTAAATAATCAAGATACTCAACACATTTTATCTCCCATGCTTGATACGCCTCCAGCGTATCGATGCTCGTCGTGCAATACAACAGATCCTCCATTTTTTTCCACCTCGTTTAGGTAACCACAAAGTTTCACCGCGACTGTCTAATGGTACGGAAAACTCGATTTTTTCAATTATACCTCGAGCGCGTTTGCCTTTACCGTAAGTTCTACACGCCCAATTCGTAGCAGCAGCCTCGTAATTTTTCCCACGATTCTCCAATGCTATTAACGTTTTAATCCACAGAATCTCTCGCGGACATTGAAATCCGATCGCTCTCCGTAAATGATGAGTAGCTACATTCCAATTACTCTTCTCTTTTGGAATGAATGCAAAATCATTAAGCATTAATGGACACTCGAAACAATACAGACCGTTGTTAACGTCGCGAATAACTCGCGACGAGAAGATACGCGAGACGAAGACGATTCACTATCCTCACTCGACATAACACGATTCTTATTTGAAAGGAATCTTGACAACGCGTGTTTATATATCGCTCATCGTTGGAAAAATCAAGAGCAAAAAAATATCTTATCTCGCAATAGCACGCATTTTGCGCAAATTTTATCACAATTGTGAAAATAACCGATTCTGAGCGCGTCACGTGCCACCGGATGTGACCTCTTGTATGTAAGATTAATTTCGTTAGACTCGTCGAAATTTTCCGCACAAATAATCACGAACGATGTGTATTGCAACATGTGTTTTCGTGTTTTTTTCGATAAAAAAAATTTTTATATCACGCTATCCGTTTTTCGCTGTTTTTTTGTTCAACAAAATGAGCAAGTCTTGCAATTACGATATGAAGTAAGAATACAAATAAATCCTTTGGTAAGTTGTAATTTTCTAATTTGTAAATTATATTTATACATTGTATACATTACTGTAACAATTACACGAAATATCGTTGTGAAGCATAGAAATTAACAGATTCATAAACATTCGTCGTATGAACGACATGCAATTTAAAAGGAGAAGAAATCAAGAGGATATGTTCTTCATGTGGAGGGAAGAAATTCGGAGAAGAGCCGTATGAGGATTGGAATTGTAAGTAATGTGAGTTTTTAAAACGTAGAAAAAATTAACAAAAATATTGTTTTTTTTGCAGAAAATACCTCACCCTCTCAAAATTGTTTATTACAACCCTGTACATTACAAATAAAGTTATTTTAAAATGACATCAATAGTTGTATTCTACACCCTCGAATATGTCGTGCTACAACATCATATTAATAAAAATAAAACATCCATATTTTATACTATTTATTCTCCTTCAACCACCACTTATACAACTTCAATACGTTCTGTAGAGCGCAACATTTAACGTGTTTACCACAACGCATGGTACCACTATCGTCTAAATTCTCAAGCGGTTCTACACCATCGATCGTTTCGATGATAATCTCGTCGTTGTTCAATATATCGACGAGCCACTCACGCTTTTCGAAACCTTTCACGTAAACGATGACGGACTCGTTCTCTCCGACAACAGCCTCACAAATCAAACGAGTGGCCATTCTATAGGGCACCATTCCATCATTCCACAGCAATCCGTGATGATTCGCCATCAGCCACGAGGCGTGCGTCTGATCGGCTTTGGACAACAATCTCCATGGTATTGGGTGAAAAAATATATAATGTGTAAGAATCGTTCCCTTTTTCAAAACGGCAACCTCTTTCACGACAAAACGTTTATTGATGACAAATCCTTAACAAAAACGAAAAATAATAAATTAGTACATAAGTAATGAAATATGAAAAAAGGAAAATAAAATACACACGTACCCTGCAAATCGACAAATGTTGGCGTCATGTTGACGAGAAGTTTTCATTGCGAGTGCTCGTCTGATAGTAACGTTGCATGATATGTCCCTCTTTTTTTTTTATTCAGTTGCACAGCGGATGTGGTCGACGGGGGAAGTATTAAGCAATAGATATATCTGCGTTTTAAAAACTGATGAAAGAGAACACTCATCCATTTAAAAATACACATTATTCACTTCCTTCGTTATTCCAGGTATTTTCATCAAATCGTCGGCGACACAATCCAAAAGACGATCCACCATGAGCTGTTTACGATCTGTGCTGGAAAGTGTCAAAAATTGCGATCGAATCTTCGCGTGTCTCCACCACTGACGTTTTTCCTTCCCCTCGATATCGTTGACATTGTAAATGTCAAGTCGAATCAATTTGTGTCCGGTGTCCATCTCCGGTGATCTCGCGGTGTAAATACGACCATTGTCCAATTTAGTGACGTACTGAGAAAGTCCGTCGGTCCTGCTTCGTTTAACGGCTGAGGCGAAGAGTGTCTCCACACCTCCGATTCCATCCGACGAAGCCTCTGCATCGACTCTTCTCTTCAATACTTCACATACCGTCGACACTTGACGTTTGATAGACTCCTTCAAATCTTTTATCCATTCAAAGTAATTATCAGCACTGATAAAAATATCCATAAACATGGAACGCAACGGCTTATTTTCAGACATCGCGAGAAACCGATGAAGCTCTTTCGCGGAATAATTCATATTCGTGCAACCTTTTTTCTTCAGAAACTCGTTAAACATTAATAGAGCATTCTTCATTGTCTGAGCCTCCTTCAAGCGCGTAGTATTAGAATCCTCTTTTGATTGCTTAGACATGTAAACGTGTATGCATGCTAATGTTGCTTTCAAATTTTTCATTATTAAAATGTGTTCAATCCACGTGCTGTGTATCACATCAAGTAAGGAACCGATAGCTGACGCATTAACCAACATCAGATCTTCGTCCTCGTCATCGTCGTCAACAACGAAATCGTCATTCGTAGATTCGTTCAACACAATCGACAATTCATCGTGATTACTCTTACTCTGAGAATCCATCGCTTTGTGCATTCGATCAACAGAATAACTACACTGACGACACTAAAAGATGTCTCGCCCTTTTATACCAAACACCGTGGGAAAAAAAACGAGACCTCTCTCATCATGTCGGATGCGATGTCTCTCTTTCTTTCACATTGTATAATATTATCTACGATGATAACATCGACTGCTGACAGTACGATTCTCATCCGTCACGAGGTCACAATATTTTTTTATTAAAACGATTTTCTCCGAGGTACGCGTGACCATGATGGAACAACATGCTGAATGCATCAATTGTACACTACACAACCGTTTCGTATCAAATAAAATTTAAAAATTTACATTATAATAAGTTATTCGTATCTCGATGTCATATCCTACTATCTTCTTGCAAAAAATAATTGGCTCGACTCTGTCCTGCGCAACATAGACTCTTCGCTAGACCTTGTCACCGTGTCGATAGCGTTATCGCGACCTTTTGACCTGAGATTACGAGCGCATCGCACTCGCGCGTCGAGACACTGTCTCCCGAGAGCGGAACAAAATTTCAAGTAAACGACGATGGCGGCGAGAATCTCTGCGCGCACGCGCGACCAAAAATAATTGGCTCGACTCTGTCCTGCGCAACATAGACTCTTCGCTAGACCTTGTCACCGTGTAGATAGCGTTATCGCGACCTTTTGATCGGGTCGCGCGACCTGAGATTACGAGCGCATCGCACTCGCGCGTCGAGACACTGTCTCCCGAGAGCGGAACAAAATTTCAAGTAAACGACGATGGCGGCGTGCGCGCGCACGCGCGAAGAGCGCGGGAACCTCGCGAAGGGTGAGCCCTAACCTCGCTCCGCCGTCAGCGTCGAGCGCGCGCCCTAACCTCGCTCCGCCCGTCAGCGCGCGTCTTAACCTCGCTCCGCCGTCAGCGTCGAGCGCGACGACAGCGTTCCCGTGGCAACCGACCGGCGCCCCCATCACAGGCGCGTGACCTTGAAAAAACCGCGTTTCGCTTTCTAAATCACACACACACAATCAAAGAAGTCACGCACACAAGCATAGAGCAGCCACGCGATTGGCTGTCCCCACCGATGACCGTGTCTGTGGATTTCATACACATCTGGTTTGTCTACTAAAGCCTCAAAAGCGTAGAGTTCTAAATGTCGTGCACGACTTTGATGGACGTCAGACGAATTAATACAAGCACACACGCATTAACGTGCATCAAAGCGTATATTCAGAAATCAGTCTCGGCTCACAAAAAACATAACAGAAGTCGGTTGCGGCATCGATAGAAGACTCCTTAAGCACGAAAGGTAACCCCCTCCTCCACGCCTCTCTGTCGCCGCTACGTCGTCACGGCTTCGTCGTCGCGATGTCGCCGAGACTCCGTCATAATTATGTTACGGGAAATTCAACTAATCGGTACTCGGAAGAAAAGGCTGCATGGGGATCATTACCGCCGACAAGTCACATTCGACCGCTGATCGTGCGACAGGTCACATCTCCTCGTCTGAGTTAAGTCAGCAGTTCTCTTTACGTTTCGAGTGAGCTCTAGCGTGTGTGCTAACCGTGATTTAGGGCAACAGCCCCTAGGCGTTATCACGGTACCGTCTGACTATCGAATCAGGGTGAATACGCAGCACCCCCAGGCGTGTCATCAGCGACTCAGGGCATCACATTGCCCCCAGGCGTACGTCGCGAGCTATGGTGGCATAACTGAATAAAAACGCGAAGTGTCTACGTATCATCGTTCTGTATATATATATATGTACATTTTGTAAATTGCTGTAAATAAACTCTATAAACGAAAAGACAGTGCAAATATTAATAGTATCCAACTGACAAGGAACACTACCCAAGTGTGACACGCCGATTTGGCTGCAAGTTGGCACATTTTTAGAACTCGGAAAAATAATCCATACGTATTTTTTTTTATCGGCAAAGAAGAAGGTTTAAGAGTTGAAACTACCCCCTGTATTGCTCAAAAACC